CACACAGGAGGCAATAGAGGACGCTCGCCTCGCATGTTGCTGACTGCTGTTGGGCGTCTTGCTGTAACCACGATTGAACCACCACGAGCTGACTGCTGTTGGGCGTCTTGCTGTCACCACGATCGAACTACAACGTGCTAGAGAGTGCAAGGAAAAAAGAATTTTCAAACGCATTGGAGGGCGTCTGCGAAGAAACAAAAAGCAGAACTGTGACTCCCAGTATTTCCCAAACATTCCCACTAGGCTTAGGCCGCAAAAACGAAAACACTCCAAAGCTAAGCCGGTCCGGATCGGTTCGGGGCCTGGTTCTCGCCCAGCCAAGTCAGAGCGCTTCCCAGGTCAAGCCGAACCCAGCACAGCCACTTCGGGCCCCGAACTTGAGCCTCATTTCTCAAGGCCCCAAACTTGCCCCTCATTTGAAAGCGGGCTAAGCCAAGCCGTTTTGGGGCCCGATGCAGCCCAGGCAGGTCTAGCCACAAACCTAGCTCAGCCACTTCGGGCCCCGAACTTCACCTCATTTTTCAGCGGGGGCCCCGAAATCGCAATCCAAGCCGTTTCGGGGCTTGCACCTCATTTTTCGGGGGGTTCAAAGCTAGCCCAGCCATGTCAAGCCACAAATCTAGCTCAGCCACTTCGGGCCCCGATCTTTAACTTCCAGCGCTCTCCAATTGTCTCCACCTCATCTCCCCGTAGTTTCGGGCCCCGAAATCGAAAAACAAGCCGTTCTAGAGCCCGATGCTAGCCCAGCCAGGTCAAGCCACACACCTAGCTCAGCCACTTCGGGCCCCGGACTGGCACCTCATTGTTCAGCACGTTCGGATACGTTCGGGCCCCGAGCCGATGCTAGCCCAGCCAGCCGCAAACCTAGCTCAGCCACTTCGGGCCCCGAGCCTAGCCCAGCCGAACCTGCTACACACTTTTAGGATTTTTTAAGCCCCCGAAATCGTTAAGCCAAGCCGTTTCGGGGCCCGACGCTAGCCCAGCCAAGTCAAGCCACAAACCTAGCTCAGCCTGCACCTCATTTTTCGGGGGCCCGATGTAGCCCAGCCATGTCAAGCAATCCTAGCTAAGCCACTTTGAGCCCCGGTCTTTGACTTCCAGCACGCTCCAAATAAATCCACTTAATCTTCGGGCCCCAAAGCCAAGCCGTTTCGGGGCCCGATGCTAGCCCAGCCAGGTCAAGCCACACACCTAGCTCAGCCACTTCGGGCCCCGAACTTGCACCTCATTGTTCAGCACGTTCGGGCCCCGAGCCGATGCTAGCCCAGCCAGGTCAAGCCGCAAACCTAGCTCAGCCACTTCGGGCCCCGAGCCTAGCCTAGCCGAACCTGCTACACACTTTTAGGCCCCCGAAATCGTTAAGCCAAGCCGTTTCGGGGCCCGACGCTAGCCCAGCCAAGTCAAGCCACAAACCTAGCTCAGCCTGCACCTCATTTTTCGGGGGCCCGATGTAGCCCAGCCATGTCAAGCAATCCTAGCTAAGCCACTTTGAGCCCCGGTCTTTGACTTCCAGCACGCTCCAAATAAATCCACTTAATCTTCGGGCCCCAAAGCCAAGCCGTTTCGGGGCCCGATGCTAGCCCAGCCAGGTCAAGCCACACACCTAGCTCAGCCACTTCGGGCCCCGAACTTGCACCTCATTGTTCAGCACGTTCGGGCCCCGAGCCGATGCTAGCCCAGCCAGGTCAAGCCGCAAACCTAGCTCAGCCACTTCGGGCCCCGAGCCTAGCCTAGCCGAACCTGCTACACACTTTTAGGCCCCCGAAATCGTTAAGCCAAGCCGTTTCGGGGCCCGCAGCCCAGCCAGGTCAAGCCGCAAACATCCGCAAACCCAGCCACTTCGGGCCCCGAACTTGCACCTCATTGTTCAGCACGCTCGGGCCCCGAAATCGGAAGCCAAGCCGTTTCGGGGCCCGACGCTAGCCCGGCCAAGTCAAGCGACAAA